TAAAAATAAGATTGAACATCTTTAGTAACATGCTTTATAAATTAAAGCTTTTTAGCTTTAGCATATTATATGTTACACACAGCAATGGACATACAATACAGCAACCTGAAGAACTATGAATAAAATTATATAGAGAAAATGGCTTAAAAGCACATTAAATTATCAAAACACTTAGATTGAAGGAAACTATTTTATTTTTTTTTTGTTTGTTTAATATTCGATGTGTAAAACTATTTATTTATATTTTCTTTAAATTGCTTTTCTCCTCGGATAAAAACAAACCACACAATGCCATTTTGCATGAGCCAGAGGCTGAACAAAAAAATCTCACTTTGTAATGCTGAATGGCAACATTTTTTCCTATATTAAGATTTTTCATCATTTATTTTCAAGATAATCTGCCTAAATTACTATTTCTTTTGTTGAGCCAAGTTCCAGCATTATTTGTTTATACTAACCTAAGTTTGTTAATTGATGTAACTACTAAATTGTTTTTACTAATTTTAAGAAATGCAGTGAAATTCTCAGTATTTCAATATATTTGCTCATGCCTAGTTAATTAATTGCTGTCAATATTTACTTTGTATATATAATGTTCATGCAGAGCTTTGTGTACCCATTTTCACCTAGGTTGTATCTATATACTACCTATTAAATAAACAGGTCTACCATAATTTCACTGCATTTTTGTGTATTTGTAATCTAAGAGCGCAACATCATCCAAAATGAATGGCTCCTGCAGTTAGGGTTAGCAGGTAATGTAGTTTTGAGAACATAAATGTATCCAACCAAGTTACAAATTGTATAAATTGTTATAACATGAAGATAATGCTATGTTTTAATCATAACCGGATTATGTTGTCTTCTGGATAGTGTAGAAATTTTCAGTTGTTATTCTTGTATTACTTTCAAATTATTAGCATGTGTTGATTTTCTATCAAATCTTTTTTAGCTTGTTTCCAGGCTGAACAACGTATATCTCCATACAGATGACAGTGCCAGGTTGGTTTGTGAATTGTTTTTAAATGTACAAGTATTAGCATCAGACATAATATGAAAGCATATCCGCAGGGAATAGCATTAATGGTTCATACGGGTTATCTCAGCAGCCATTTTATTGTTGATACAGTAATTACCTTTCAGCAATATTTGTTCAAGCTAATACATGTATAACTAGTTTAAAAAAGGAAAGGTATCATAGTGTTACCTGTGTGTACTACTCTAGTATATAGTATAAGTATGGTAAAATAAAGGATTGTACATTATATATACACTAAGCAGATAAAAACTACACATGTGCATGAATTTGGTTATCATACCCCTACACATTGCCGGGGTAATATATATTATTTTTTTCTTTTTTTATTAAAGCTCCTTGAGAGGCTCAATAAAGTACATATAACTCTGTCTGATGAATCCAAGAGGCATGTGATTAACAACTTTGCTGCATATTCACCAGAGCAGATTATCAAAGAATGTACAAAAGGGAGAAATTGCAAAATAAATGGTGATAATGTTGACATCTATTTGAAGACGAATGATGTGAGAATGGATAACAAGAACAAAGATCTGCGTTTTTTTCACATCGGATGTCACCTTTGACCGTGTGTCTGTGGACAAATTAGATGATAGCGCTCCAGTAAGAAATCTTGATCTTGTTAATTATATGATGTTTCTTGCATCCAAGGAAGAGTTACAGCTACACAAAGAATCTATGAAAATTCTGTTGGCCAGGTTGTTAGTAGAGCATATGAAAGCATTTGAATGGATGAAGCCAGTTGTTCCTTCACACATTCCACATGATTTGGAAGATATGTCCCAGAAATCGTCAATACATTGGCTTCCTCTTCAGTTAAAGAACGAAATGCACCATGACCAGTGTGTCGAAATTATACAGCAATTTGAAAGACAAGTCAACAACATTTATTGTAAAGCAGGAAGAGGTATAACTTAGTTTCTGATAAATGATCATTATTTTTGGGATATAATTGAACTTTTATCGTTAATGAAATTGCTTGAGATAAATATACTAAAAAGTTTTATACATCCAATCTAAAAGTTTGCAACAGATTGTAGTAACTATCACATCAAATATTTGGTCATTGACATGTCCTTTTCATTTGCATCTATAAGCAAGCACATTACTGTGTCATCACAACTTTATCTGAAACAAAAATCTTTTCAGCTGGAGAGTTAGAAGATTTATATATTCCTGTTGGTGGTGATCAGCTGACACGGGTGAACTTACAGAGTGCCAAAATCTTGCGAGCCGGGTGCAATACTCAGGAAGAAAGATTAGATCATTTCTATCCAGTGATTGTGGAGTTGTTTCACATAGTCATGGATTTTCTTGAGGTTAATATGTTGTTTATAAATTAACGAAAGTGTAAGCTTATTATACTTACTCTGTACTGTGATTTGTGGCTGTTAGAATTGAATGGTAACATTATAAGTGTTACATAGTATCTATACTAATTTATAATGAAGTGGACATTTGCTTACCTGTATGTTTACATTTTTAGAAGTTATTCAAGAAGTTGTACAAAGTGCTTACAGCAGAGATGTTGGAACACTGGCCCATTTGAAACTTGTCATTCAGAGAACAAATGTCAATGGTCAAGTAAAAAGTCGGTTTGAGGTATGTACAATAATTGAGCAAGTACCAGTGTAGCATGATAAGCGAAGCCAATGGTAATGAGAAAGGTCTTTTTTTCTAACTGAATGTTTTCCACCAAGCCTTCTTTAGTTTACTTCCAATGCAGTCTGTCTAGTGTGTTGTGAAATAGCAAGTTATAAGATATAGTTAACGTCCTCATTTCATCATGGTTGCCATGGTAGAGTGAACTCCTCCCATCCCACCCACTCCCTTCTCCCTCAAACTGCCTTGAATTTCTCCACTTGATGTGATTAAGTGATTTTTTTAGCATATGTATAAAACAATAACTTTAACTAAAAGACTTTAATTTTCACTATTGCTGTTTAATGCGAAATATTGTTTCAGTGAAAATTGATTGTCATGTATAACTTACTGTTTCTACAGAGTGCAAAAAACAAATCCTGTGAAATGTTGGAAATTGAAAAATTAGTGAAAATTGGGTCCAGTGAAGAACTTTTACAGTATAACACATTTATTTTTGAGCTTATACATGTATTTTTTGTCTTCACAGGCTCATTAGGACTTTGTTATGATTACAGGCTTAGCCTATTTCCTCACATATGCTATGAAGGTATTCAGCATGAAAGATCTTGATTATACACTGAAGCACCATCTGCTCAAAGAGAACATGAAATATTTGAAAACTAGAGCAAAAGAGAAGCTATTTAATGACATCATGGATGAGATTGTGAGCCAATGCTGGATGCCATTTGAGGTGAATGTGAAGCCTACAGTTCACACAAGTTCTCTTTCACCCAGAATACACATAATAAAAGTGTCAAATAAAAACTCAGACACAAGTAAATTGTTATAATTGTCAGAATGCTTTACAGAAAAGTAAAGCTAATTTTATACTTAAAAACATTTGTTTTTGCATAAACATGAACTCAGGGACTCTGAGTCCAAAAAACAGAACATGGTAATGTTATATTTGTGATATAATTATGTATTTATTCAATGATATATATTTGTGCAGATTGTTTATACACAACAAATAAAAAATCAATAATACAAGATTAAATGTTTCTAGATTTTTAACACTATACATGGTCAGGAGTTACAAAAATGCCATGCTGGCTGCAGATTCAAACAAGAAAGGATATATTGAATTAGTTTTCAGGAGTTTGGAACATAAACAGATACTTTTTTTATATTTGTGAATACTTTGTATACACTGAAAGTTTTCATTTTTGCTTACAGGCAGGTACTAGTAAATCTCCAAACACAGTGAATCTGCAGGCTATCAGTGAGAAAGACACAACAGATTTAGAGACTACAGTCACTGAAGGTCTTGTTCAACTGTTGATCCAGATTCAAGGAGCTAATTACCAGGTGTCGATACCATTTGAAAATACAAAAGGTGGCTGCAGGTTGGATATCAAAACGGCAAAAGGAATCACGAGTGTATTCGTTAAAAATATTTAAATATTATAAGTTGGTGTTGTGGATGACCTGAATTCCTATGCATGCAATTTCATGCAGTGACATTTACTGTTACTGAACTTTCAGGACACCATTAAAGAAGGTGACATATACAGAACAAATGTCATTTTGAAAATTCTCATCCCCTTTTTTTTAGAGTCACTCATGTTTATCTAAATACTTTAATGAGTGCATTGACTATATTTTGAAAACAGAAATCATGTTGTCTCCAAAACTGTCAATGCGGGTGAGAGCTGCATCTTTTGTAAACACTAAGGGTGGAAAGGGTCACAACAAAGCAGCTGACATGCAAAAAGAAAATCAAGTCAAAATAATTGAGCAAGTACCAGTGTAGCATGATAAGCGAAGCCAATGGTAATGAGAAAGGTCTTTTTTTCTAACTGAATGTTTTTCACCAAACCTAAGGGTGGAAAGGGTCACAACAAAGCAGTTGACATGCAAAAAGAAAATCAAGTCAAAGTATTGAAAGACCTAATTCGAGGACTTGGTTCTAACAAGAATGAAAATGCGATTGTGACAGTGTCCAAAGTAGCTCCAGTAATAAATTCAATAACAAAAATTTTGATAACATGCTAGAAATAAAGGATAAGGGTACAAGACACAGGAAACGTGAAATTAAAGGAGACTTGAGTCTTTCACTTAACTGTCACACAAAGTTAAATCCTTGGACTGAGTGTCAAGGACGACAGCTCCAAGGATTCTCTCAAATATCAAAATCTTTCAATTTCAAGAGAGACCTTTTGAAAATTCATATCATGGATACAGTTAATAGGTTAAAAAGGGGTGCACCTGATCTGGGAGAAATTTCATCAGATTCTGAAGATCTGTGATGAGCTAGTTTTACAGTTTGAACAACACTGTTCAGGAGGTCCACTATAAAGAATAGTGTCAAAGTAGTCCATTAAATGTTTCGCAAACATGTTTCTGTATTTTTAACAAACCCCTTGACAGTAGGATAAAATCCTTTGTGATTACTAGCTATGTCACTGTTATTATAATACAGAATTGCTGTTGCATTTTGCCCATAACGACCAACCCTGCCAACTTCTTGTAAATATTTTCAAGTGTTGTTGGAGGACGGAAATGGATAATTCTTGACACTGCAGAAGCATTCCATCCCATTCCAAGTGCAACGCTTGCAAAGACAAGTCTTATATTTGGATTTAATTTTGTTAGTTCAGATACGATGATTTGTTTCATTTTTTCACTGTAACTTTTGTGATACTGGGCAAAGACCCTGTTCTCTGGGACTTGACTGCTTGCTGGTATATATGCCTTACAACCAAATTCTTGATCAGCATACATGTAGCTGTAACCAATTGACTCCAACTTATCACAGTAGACTATTGTTACAGGAAAGTCTGACATCTTATCCTTCAACTCAGAACAAAGGTCTTTCAGAATTCGGTCATACTTTTCATATCTTTTAATATTGGGTAATCTTTCCCTAACTTTAAAATATATATTGGGCCTATCTGGATTTTGGACTACCAATGTTGGATTCCTAAATTCAAGAATGCTGCACAAATTCTGTATGTCCATTTTTGTTGCTGTTGTAGTCAGTGCTAAATGGGGTACATCTGGATAGATACAAGTTAGTCGCCCAAGTTTATGGAAGGAATTCCCAAAATCTTTACCCTGGTGAAAAGGAAAGATATAACTCTTGTTACATTTAATTGTTTTACTGAAATTATGAGTAGTAAAATTATTAGCTGCATTATACAAAAGGCATGTAAAATGTTCTATTTTCTCTGGCTTAATGCTTTGTATATGGTTATTCATTTAACAATGTGAATAAGTTTGATCTTATATCATCTTATTTATCATTACATTACCTTTAGAATTTTGTAGCTGTGTTTTATGTTACTTTATGCGCAATACTTAACAAGATAGCCTAGTTCCTAGTTGTTATATTGCAGCATTATTTTCTGCTACCTGTTATGTTTGAACAAGTATATACAGAATTATACTATCATTATGGTATGCCATATAACATATAGATAGATAGAAAAAAAATATATATACCATTCAGATATCATGTGTACTTCATCAATAACAGTACAGCATACTCTGTCCTTGTAAATGTTGCTTCGTAATATTTCCCCAATTTTTCTGTTTTCTACTAGTGCCTCAGGGTGGGCATACACTAGACAGTACTTTCCCTGTTTAATATCTTGTAATGGAACACTTGAGACGAGCACTTCATTATCTTCCTTGCTTTCTTCACTCACTCTGTATCCAATGAAAAAATTACAGAACATAGCTTTACATTGGACATATAATACTGGTTCAAAAATCTATACTGTGTAATATATGTAACATACAGGACATTCCGGTACTTCCAAAGATTAACATGTCATTGTACAAGTGTTGAGTGACTTTATTATAGAGCCTATTTAACACAAACTAAGATCAATTTGCAATGGAGATGTGCATGTACATGTATTTTTTAAAAAATTCAAATGCAGCATTTTAACTACAGAATTTTGTGTTAGAATTTAAAGAAATAAAGTTGTAAGCTGCAATGAGTAAACTGATCAACATTATAGCCTTCAGCTAAAAGTCAGTTGTAATCTTTGCAAGTGTAAAACATTATTTATTATACCCCCATCTAGGTAAGGGGTATATAGTAATCCCTTTGTCGGTGTGTCTGTCTGTCCGTCCATCAGTGTGTCCGGACCTTGTGTACAGGATATCTTCAACACCTCTTGTCAGATTTGCCTCATATTTACACCATAGTATCACAGTATAAAGTTCTACCCCTGCTTAGATTTTGGTTGTCATCGATGAAGAATGAGGTTCAAAGGTCACCATTGACTACTTTTGGGAAAAACAGCTTGTGTAAAAGATCTCATGAACCCCTGGTTTGATATGGTTCACATTCACCCCATAACTTCAATCAGTGAAGTTCTACACCTGATTATATTTGGGAGGTCATCAGTCTTGGTTAAAGGTCATTGTTAGGAATAACACTAGAATCACTTACCGGGTAATTCCTATAGCTCAGTGTTGGGGTTGAGGGGTGGTGGGGGTATATCTATGCGAGCCCCTGCTCACTTTGCTCTTTTATTGTATATTTTGTAAAATGTTATATTACCCGTATATGCCATTGTAATGTACAGCTATTAAGTTGAAATACAAATATTCTACCATGTGTACTTCATATGCCCATTTCATCATGATTTGACCCAAAACATTTTTGGCTTGTATTAAATTCTTTCAAGAGATCTAGAGTATGTCAAAAAAACTACAGCAATCTCTAAAACAATAAGACCTGTTAATGTGTGCAATTGCCTTAAACGTTTTTAAAGTACATGTTACATTCTGGATAAATACATACCTGTATTATTTATATCTGTATGTATATATATATATATATATGCATCATTTTTATATTTGCACAAGATGAGAAAGGTTGTAGCTGAGTTTCATAATATAAACCTGAAATATTAAAGTATGTAACAGTTAGTAAACCATCAATTTTTTTTAATAATGATTAAATTACCTGTACAGTTATATACACACACACATGTAGGATTTTTTTGAGTACAATTAAGTTGAGTGTCTTGGGGAAATTAACAAGTTATGTGAATCTAATATTAGCATGTACCTGAAAAATGTTATTCTACTTTATGCAGATGATACAGTTATCATGTCGGAGACAAGTGAGGTAGGTCTACAGTCTGCTTTAAAAGAAAAAGTAAAAATTTGCCAAGATTTACCTTAAACAATACTGCATTAGAAATAACTGACTCTTATTCGTATTTGAGTTTTACCCTGAATTTAATGGTAACTTTACTAAAGCCAAAATGAAGCTAACAGAGCAAGCACAAAAAGCACTTTTTGCTTTACTTTGAAGAATAAGAAATACTTCTCTCCCATTAGATTTACTGTTAAAACTTTTTGATACATTAGCTACCCCAATCTTGTTGTACGCAGTGGAAGTATGGGGTTTTGAAAGTCTTGATATTATTGAGAAAATTCACATTTGTTTCTTAAAAAGGATACTAAAATTAAGAAGTAGTACTGCAGCATTTATGGTATATGGAGAGCTTGGAAGGTATCCGCTTGAAATAGAAGTCAAAGTTAGGATAATTATGTTTTGGTATAAAAGTTAGTCACTGGGGGAAATAAATTATTGAATAATATATAGATTGCTATATAAGTTAGATGAAAGGGAAAATAGTAAGTTTAAGTGGTAAAAGTTTGTAAAATCTATATTTAAAAATACTGGAATGGGATTTATATGGAATGTTCAAGAAACTTGTTCAGCAGATAAGAGTTGGCTAAAATCAAGCATTAGAAAATGTCTACAAGATCAATATGTACCAAAATGGTTCAGTGATTTGGAGAATTCTTCTCGTGGACAATTTTATAAGATTTTTAAAAGTGAATTTTTTTTTGAAAAATATTTGTGTTGTGGAAAGGTCGATTTCTGCCTTGTGAGTCTTGTTGAGTAAAGGCTGTGTAGCGTTCGGTTGAGTGACCCGGTAGTGGAGTTTTTGGCTCTTACTAGGTGTACGTACCCTTAGTCGCGATGTTAGTAGTACTCTGGGGGGTTCAGCCTAGGGATTACAGAGGGATATTATGTCTGGATTGACTTCTGTCCGCTTCGGGTTGTTATGTCGGCCATCTTGTGAGATGGGCCGTAGTCATTAGTATCACGTAATGTGATTGGTCAGGGCTTCAGCGGCGGAGCCAGTCGCTGAGAGTCTGTTATTAGTTTCTACATCCACCGGATGTTTTTCCACTAGGGTCAAAGGGTATAAAACGGCGATACACGTGCAGTGCCGGGACCTTTTTCTGGCCGGAGTTAGGTGAGTTCAGTGGGTTTGCCACAGTATTACTGATGCTTTGAAACCAGAGCACTGGGGAATTAGACTTAGGCCTTTACGCTTCGAAACCGAAGTGATAGTTAAATGTAATTAAGCCTTCTTAGACAGTTGACACTCTGAAAACAGAGGAATACCTTCACTGTTTATAGTAATGTCGTTAGGCTGTCACCTTAGTCAGTAAGCTGCGGGCATGCTCTGAAACCGGAGTGAGGGCTGGAATTCACGTGGTATTAGACTAGTATACAGTTGAATTATGTAGACCGCTCTGAAATCAGAGTGAAAGGGTTTATTTGCTCTCCATTGGTGTAGTGTCAAATTCTGACCATGTAGCTTATAGTTAGTAGCTATTATGTAGGTTTCTACGGGAGGGGGTTGGTTTTTAGCCCGTCTCATAGGCAGACCAGTGTACCCCAGTTTATTTCACGTTGTCAGGTTTTGTTGTTTTGCTGCTTAGTTTATTTTTTGTTGCTAATTTACATTTTTGTTAAATTTTCTGCTGGCTTTTTACACCTTGGTTGACTGATTTTTACTTATGTTAAATTGTTTATTTTTGTTTATACTTTGTTATTGCTCCGGCACTATTCGCTGATATTCCATTGACAATTAAATAGTGGAACTTGAATCTTGGCGTTGTTGTGGGTCTTTCCTAACACTTCGACTAATCAGGAGAAAAGAACTGGAAGGTGTGCCTGGGAGTTGACTGTTGGCCTTGTACATTTGTACACTTAAAAAATACACAACGCGAAGTCATTTGTGTGGCAAACTCTCATCTCCTGAGCCCGCCTACTACAGTGTGAATTAACTGAAAAAAAACCAGAATCATATTAAGTAAATTTCGAACTCCGAATATGAAATATCCTATTGAAACAGGACGCTGGAGAGGTATTCCACGTGAAGATCGAGTTTGTACTTTTTGTCTTAATGAAATGGGTGACGAATATCACTATCTTTACAAATTTAATAATGTACAGATAGTTCAGCTTAGAAGTAAGTTCATCCCCGAGTGTTATAGAAAGTATCCAAGTAAATTATCACGAGATGATGTATGTATAAATATATGTACATTGTATATCCAATTACTCTGTCAGCCATGTGTCAGGTCTACTTTGTACAATCACATCTTGTTACACGCAATGCGTGTCAGAGAGAACAATAAAATCTGGAATTTGAGTTTTGTCTTCAAATTATGCGTCTGACTCTGAGATATCAAAGAGAGCAGAGAAAAGAGAACGATCGAATGCATGAATATGCATTTTAACAGGCCCGACATTCTTTTTTTTTAAAAAAAAGTTCATTAAACTGGCAAACAGCTAAATTCACATGCACATTCAGTGATGAAAAATTGCCTACCGAACAGCCCCAGCCCCTTCAATATTGAGGAAACATGAAGGAATTCCATTCTCGGCCAAATGCTGAACTTGGTCTTGCATAATTGAATTAAGTTGGGTTACGATCAAAACTATCATTGGTGTGACCGCAGTATGGCAAGCCGTTTTAACATTTAATCCTATTTCCTCTTAAGATGAAGAAGTGAAATTATTTTTGTCTTAAGGTAATTAAACATCTTTTCGCATTATGATTTATTTCACTTAAGTGTAAAACTATTTCACTTAAGTGAAATAATTTTTATAAGTCTTAAGAGGTTTATTATTTCACTTAAGTTAAAATCGTTTTCACTTAAGTGAATTTAAACAAGCAGTGGGATGTATGAACACCTACCTTCTTCAACAGTTTTGGACTAATCCATTTTATTAACCAATCATTTGGTATTTTCTATCTGACCAATCAGATTCGCTTTCTCTGGTCGATTGCGTCGTTAGTGCTAACAATATGGCGGCCACCATAAAACCTGTTGACATGTATCAAGGTGAGATATTTCCGAAATGGATGCTGCAAACGTCGTTCAGAATGCTATTGAGGCTGTGGAAAGGGCGAGATCCCGATTTTCATATGCCCGCTGTGATCAGGGAAAGAAGTTGCGGAAGATTGAAGGGAACAGTGTTCTAGACATCAAGACGATTTTGAAGCAGGGAAAGTTATATATTATCCCACATCGAGATTTGAGAATGGTAAGTGTAGTTTTTTGAGACTTAATTCACATTAAAAAAATTGAATTGGAAATATATCAATGTAAGGTTATTGTATTCTACCGCATTACAATTAAGGGTATGAACCAAAAAAAAAGTAAATAAAAATAAAAGATGAATAAATAAAGAAATCTCAACCAAAATCAGGTTAACATTATAGATCAATATTCCTTCAAATTAATTAATCGAGATTATCATGACATTGTGACTGGCCTGTTTACTATGTGATACAGCCATATTATAAATATCATAAGACACCAAATGATAATTAATACTCAAAATGTCCTATGATTATATGCACATTTTTCTTGGCTTATAGTTAACCTTATTGTAAGCTTGAAAAATTTGCATATTTTCAAAAACAGAGACATGAAAATGGATGCCTATTTTAAACAATGATAGTTGCTTGATGCATAATAACTTATTAAATTAATGTGCTGTAATTTTGTTCGTTTTGTTTGTAGGAGACTCCGCTACTTCTTGAGGAAGAAAGAGCATTGAGAGAAAATGTTGAAGATGTGGTGGTAAGTGCTTTACATGTAACAGCGAAAGTAGCCGATTTTGGAATGTTCACTTTTATTGGTTGATTATTTCTTGACTTACTTCAAGTTATGTTTAGTATTTTGTGAAGGAAAACATATGTGTCTTACATCAGTTTTGATTCATTTGTTTATATTTCGACCATTTGTTAGAAAGGCTTCATTTGGCCACATTTCAGCTTGTGTCACAATCTTCCTCTATTTCTTTATATTTTTACAAATCATTCAACTCTAAATATAGATTGATAAGAAATTTGATGCAGTAATGATGAAACATTACCATAGTGATGCTTTATTTGATATGTCAGCAATATGGATGATCATGGCGGTCAGTTTGTGTTTCTTAGGAAGCTGAGAAACAGGACTGTTATGTGGTGTTGGGTTCATGTTCTTTAGCAGCACTGCAGGAACGCCTGCCTTAAAATGATTCTGGCATCAAACCCAACCAAACAAGAGTCACATGGTCATAAGGAAATACCTCATAGAGCATTATGATAAAGAATATTTTATACGTATGAATAACATTAAAAACCGCTTTGTTTTGTATTCTGTCGACATGTTGAAGGTAAAACTAAAGTATTATGTTTGACTATAATTTTCAGGTAAGACCTCATTCAACGATCCACTCAACATCGACTGTGGCCCCATCACCATCTGTACCAACAATATCGACTGTGTCTCCATCACCATCTATACCAACAACATCGACTGTGTCTCCATCACCATCTGTACCAACAACATCGACTGTGTTTCCATCACCATCTGTTCCAACAACATCGACTGTGTCTCCATCACCATCTGTACCAACAACATCGACTGTAGCTCCATCACCATCTGTGCCCACAACTACGACAGCAATATCCACACTAGCAACTGTATCAGAACTAGTCAGCGAGCCAGATGTTGTTGACGTCAATGATTTTACCCACGCACAGGTATTTATTTATTTTTTTTTGCAATATCAAGACAGAATCAAGTAAACTGAAGATTTACAAATTTGTATAAATGTTGGGTCTAAGATCCCAGCATGCTACAGACCCAATATCAGCACTCTAGGCATTTTGGTTATTGAGAAGAAATCAGAATCAAGTAAACTGAAGATTTACAAATTTGTATAAATGTTGGGTCTAAGTGCCTTGAAAGTAGGTCAAGGTCATTCATATTGAACAAACTTGGTAGCCCTTCATCCCAGCATGCTACAGACCCAATATCAGCACTCTAGGCATTTTGGTTATTGAGAAGAAATCATTTAAAGATTTTAACATATTTTACCCCTGTGACCTTGAAAGTAGGTCAAGGTCATTTAGTTGGAAAAAACTTGGTAGCCCTTCATCCCAGCATGCTACAGGCTCAATATCAGCACTCTTGGCCTTTTGGTTATTGAGGAGAAATTGTTTAACGATTTTAACATATTTGACCGCTGTGACCTTGAAACATGCATTTATAATCTGACAGGCTTGACATAATAAGATTGCATTCATTTGCTTACTTTCTACATTTTTTTTACAGAATAATACAGCTCATGACTCTTCTTTTGAAGAAACAGACACCCCTGTTGTAAGTTTAGTATACACCTTCAAGGAAGTTAAGGTTCCTTCACTTTTTTTAAGTGGAAAAGAAAAAAAATCAGCATAAATTATCACCAAATTGGTGTCAGTAATATCAGACAAGTTTACAACCAACAACTTACGCTAGTTATCTGAAAAGAGAATTAATATAATACACAACACAGTTTGTAAACTTAAAAAACAATACAGCATATTGGAAAATCATACTTACAACACAAGCATATTTAGTGCCTCAAAAATTCAAGACTAAGACTTATTTCATGATGTGGTAGCCTTTAATTGTGAGTTTATTCCGCATCACAGATCTCATTTCGACGAAGACGAGCAGCAAGCATAAGGGCACGAGCAACAATTAGAGAAAATGCAGCTGCCATTATGATGGTAATGTAATTATTACACACATTGATTTACAATTTTTTGTGTTACCCTGATTTTGTCAGAAGAGGTTTTTATTTTATTAACAAAACACAGTGAAATTTTGAACAGATGTTAAATTCAACACATAATTTGCCTACCGAAGCAAGGAAATTACAAACCAATTAAATGTCATAAGTGCACACTTCTGTATTTTTGCATGTCTAAACTGATCATTAGAAAGGTATTTAGATGCTTACAATAGTTTCAATAGAAAGAGTTGATAATTAAGAGGTACAGCACATACATAAGTTTTCAAACTCAGAAAAATATCCCATTAGCTATGAATTTATTAGGCAAATTTCAAATTTATCTTCAGACATCAGGATCTTCATCACTAGTGTCACAAGCAAATTCCCCTCTTAGACTTGACATTGATAGCCCACCTCGAGTACCACCATTACCATCCCTGGAAAACTCTCCACAAGTGTTGCAACAATCAGATCTTGATTCAGGTAAAGTACAATATATGATGTATCTGTTTATTATCCCTGCACAACGCCTTGTGAAGGAGATATAGCAACACCCCTGAGGTTCTATGAATCCATGCCTCATGACACACGTCTTGTAAACACAATAGAGACCAAACCTTATGGTAATTATCTTCATCAAACTTGGTGCACGTCACAAATGAAGAAAGGACAGTTTCTTTTGATTTTCATGGTCATTAGTTCAAGGTCAAAGGTCGGGGCCACATTGGGTCCATATAAGATAAGCTTTGTGAACATGATAGAGACCGACCATACCTTTTGGTATATATTCATCCAACTTGGTACACATATCCTTTTGTGAAAAGGGGATGGTGTCTACTGATATTCAAGGTCACATGTCAAATGTCAAGGTCAAAAGATCAAGGTTACTATGCTTACATATATGATTATCTAGTTAATGCAATAGAAGCCAACCCAAACCGTTTAATATCTTCATTAAAGTTGGTACACATCTCATTGATGATCAGAGGATTGTGCCTATTGATTGATATGGTCTGAAGGCAAAGGTCAAGGTGAGAGGCCTTTATATAAAAAGAGGGGTTTGCACCGGGATGCTATGCTTTGAGTTGCTCATCAAATCATTAACATTTTGTGATTGAAATTCTGATGTGGAAAACATTTCCGGTATGAAAACGAGGTACAAGGAAGTGGCTCTTCCCATTTTGAAATGGGGGTGGATAGCATACTGACTGTTTTATTTACCTTAAGTGGAAAAAATATCCCTTGAGTGAATGTAATTTAGCATTATGTCAGCACATTACACTTTTTCACTTAAGTGAAATTCTTTTAAACTTAAGGGAAATAAACATTATTATGCATTATGATTTATTTCACTTAAGTGAAAAAAAGAATCCCTTAAGTGATTTTCTCCCCCTTAAGTTGTATTAATAATTTGCATTATGTTTCATTTCCCCTTAAGTGCAATTGTTTTTCACTTAAGTGAAAAAGAATTTCACTTAAGTGAAAAAACTATCCCCTTAAGAGGAAATAGGATTAAATGTCAAAACGGCTTGCCATACCGCAGCCAACTTTTTTTGCAGTAAAAATGGAAGTAACTGGAAAATCACGCTCTTTCCCTATCCAGTCGGCAATACTGCCAGGGTATCTTTACCCTCATACAAAGATCTTAATGTAAGCACTTGCTTTTCTTTCAGATCAAACGTAATCCCTAATCTTAATTTGGCGTATTCTAAATCCATATCAAAATTTGCGGGTGTCGCCATGTTGAAACTGTCAACTTAACAAAACCAACTGTAAAAATCTTCGAATTACAGAATATGGTCAGCTAATTTTACGTCGTAAATTGGCATCAATTCATACCGTGATTCACATTTTATCCACTAATTGTGGAAGACTGCAATTCAAGAGTTTAGTACTTGTATATTTTCCGGCTCATAAAATGTTTGAATTCACTACATATCCTTACACCTATTACATCCGAGGTGTTGTGAAGCACACCCGAGGAGTTCCGAGTTGTTAATGAATTTTTAAAGCATTAAATGAAACAAAGTTGGGAACAATCTTTATACTTCACAACTGTATTGTTATGGGAGGTCAGGTTGTTATCTTTTGAATTAATATTTCCAACAATTTCAAATTTTAACTAACCACTGTTTAAATTTTAGAGTTGAATACACTAGAGCTATAAGGACGAAACAGCTGTTTTATGCAGTGAAATTCGTTATTTAGCACTACTGTATCCAATTCTTAAGTTTTCAGTAAGATGTGTCATAGACTTGTACTTTTGTACAACTTTTGAAGACTAGGGGCTGAATACAGTAGAGCTGTGGTAATTGTTTATAATGCTCTGCAAACGACTAACTTCTTGGGGGCGAGTTGACAGTTGCTTGTATGTCAACTCGCCCCGAAGTTGGTGTCCAACAGTTTGTGCATTACACCGCCAGTTCGTGTTCAGTTATACCTACGAAACACATGGGCGACGGGGATAAGTTGCATTGAAAACGTGCCCCCCCACTCCTTTTGGTATCCGTTCATTTACCTGTTTTTATTGATAGAGACTCGGTGTACAACCGGTCGCTATTGTTATAACCCGCGGCTATTGCTTTTGTTAACAAATCTCTACCTTTGAATAGCGACTCTGTGATAGTTTTCCGTGCTTGCACGCTTCGCCCTGTATTTACGCTCCATTCTATACTTGATACCGTTGAGATGGTAGTTAATTACATTAATACTAATTTATTAAATTTATTTGTTAATAACATTAATTCGGCGACGTATGATGATTTTACTAGAATAGAGGGCATAGGTCCTAACAGAGTAAATGCCAATATTCGAAAACGAACTGAGTGTGCCAACGAATTAACGGTCGAAGATTTGTAGCCATTTCGGTTACATCAGGTACCTTTTGGGATTCTTTGATGGATAGGGGATTGATAACTCTTGAGCCGATGGCCTCCGGGGGTCACCTAGAGCCGGATAGAGGTTTTGGTTCTGTAACAATTGATCACGCCCGTAAAATGGTAGAAAGAGCCGCTGCTGAAAGAGATGCCCTTGAAAATGAGTTTAAACTCAGCGCTGAAGCATTAGCGAGGCGTAAGGACGAAATGCTACTGGAGTTGAGGGCAATGAAAGAATCATTCACAAGACTTCTGTGTCAAGGGCGACGGACGCGATTGTTCCAGCTCCGAGGATGCAGAGCAGATTTTTTTCTTCTTGTGCTGAAAAGAGGACAAATTCTATATGGAATTTAGCGCTGCACAGAACAAAGGATGTGCTCTTGTTTGTAACCTGGGTTATACTTATTCTAAATACACAACACCAGACTGATTGAAATTGAAATATTTCATTTATTAAAAATAACAAATGACGACAGAAAATATGACAATTACAATTTCCTGTTCATTAACAGTACACTAATCAACTGTACTTAATGTTATCCAATCAGAGATATCCTAAAAAATATACCTAGGAGTACAAAGATGGGGATCAAATTACGCCATCATATAGCCAAGCAATTATATTAATGTTGGAATAAATTGCTAGCCATATTCCACAACATCCTCTTTTACTACACTCAAAATTATGTACTAAATTATGTACCCATGAACATTTGTATGGAACTCTTTGATATGGACGGGCAGGTGTTTAGTTTTTGTCTGCCTTACACAGGTGTTTAGTTTTGGTGCCACGACATGATGCTGTATATTGATTAGGAACTATCTTTTGTAATGGATATTAACGCGAAGTACTAACTATGGAAAACCACTATACGATGAAATAAACGTTTCGGTCAACCCAAGTAAACACTGTGTTTAAGTCATTGTGTTACACCCTTAAAGAGACACCATAGGGATTCGGATATACTTTTTAAATGCACCAGATTTCCATCTACCCATTGTTTGGATGTCACTCTCAGGAATACCCTGTATAGCAGCTGTGGTGGATGCTCCAATTCTAAAACTATGTGATTTTTAATATGTAAATTTAGACCTGTCCACTTGAGAGATAGTTTGAGGTACTGTATAGTGTGCAGGTACTTTCTTGGGGTCAGATTCAAATTAAAAAAAAAAAAAAATTTTCTACAGAAAGAATAATTGATTAACTGTTTCAAATGTGGTTTGATCCATTGATAATAAGGAAACCACAATCATCATGACCCTAACATATTTAATTACCTTATGTAAACAAATTCACACAGGTGCCTGACTTGACAAGCATGGAAGGCTTGGCTTATTGGATAATTAACAGTTCTTAACAGGTAACAAACACGTTGAGTATGAGGAGATTGATGACACCCGGCTTGGGCTTAACGTGTGCTATTGCTCAGGAAACGATGTTGTTTTAACTGTCTGAAAAGTTTCAATCCTACCTTGTCCTCATATCTGAACCCATTGCGGTATCTGAAGGTACTTAGTGTTTATTGTGTTTACACCGACTTCGACATGGGGAAACGGCGAACATCGTTTACAGCGAAAGAAAAACTGGACGCCATTGACTACACCAAGAGACTTGAGTTTTGTGCCGCCAGTTGCCACTTCGACATTCAAGAGCGAAATATCAAGGCACAGAAGAAAAAAAAAGACCATCTTAAGTCCCACCCACTGACCAGAAGGACTGACATAGGTGCGACAACGAAACACCCAGAGATGCTGTCATCGCTTCCAGTACAACAGAACTTTGCCTGCGGGCCATGCAGATCAAGAGAGGTCATGGGGTCACCAACTTTAGGCATCGGTTGGATGGGCTGTCCGATTGATGAACAGAACGACAATCGCCCAAAAACTTCAGAACTGAATTCCAGAGATACATCATCAAAATGAGGCAGAAATTCAGCCATTACTATAGCCCCAACAAATAGTAAGACCGTGACTATTTGAACGATGGGAAACAGAAAAAAAGATCAACCGTAATGTTAGCGTGTATGGCCGATGATTAAACAGTTCAAATTTTATTTTATTTTTTTTTTTTATCTCCAAACTATCATATATGACCGACTTTTACATAAAACTTGTGAAGGGAGGTAATCAAATATAGCGGATGCAGAACTCTGAAATGATAACCCCAAGGATGGCATGTTCCTGCGTATAATGCACACCCCTTTTTGACACGACGGTTCTAGCTTGAAAAAGTGCGCACTAAACACGGAAATTTACCGTAAGTGAAAATATTTCTAGAGATGGCAGATCCATCCATGAATGAAAAGAGATTGATCTCCCCTTTCATGCTTTTAATTGTGCAAGTAATCTTGGATAGCTAATACTGGACAATATTGTGGCTGTTGCAAGTTAGCAGGTACCACATGTGTACCCGACTGACCTTGGTGGTGTTTAAAATAAGAAAGACAATTTTCAATGATTTAACTTACTGGCTATGAATTATCTCGACATGTCCCTGTTGCAAAGTATGACGAGTAGGAGTCCCAGTAGATGTAATTTTTGCCACCCGTAAGAAGCATGGAAGGCTAACAGAAACATAGACTTGAACAAGACTGTGAAAGTGGGAGGATGCAACCGCATTGAGTGAATCCACCAATTTGTAAAGGACATCTGGCGTAATTGGCAGTCTGGTATCCACTGAATGTTTCAGTTTGTGATACCCTTGTAATAGTTTCTTTATTACAAAATGTTGCATAATATCCTCAAAATTGTCGAGCTTGAAAATATAACCTAAGGTGGTAACATATGTAGTGACCGCTGCAGAGGCCAACCTGGTGCGATAGCGATGTGATATAAACATTGACAGGTGTTGTAAATTGGGTGGTAGCACCGTTTGTTCTTTTCGGAAATGTTGTTGAACAAAACCTGAAGGAAGCTGAAGATGCTGATAAATCACTGTTTAGCAAAATCTGTGTCCTCTAGATGTTCACGAGATGTGGTAGGATGAATGTCCCTTCCTTGCGCATGTGTGGAGATCCCCGGAAAAACGCTGGCATCTGCAAGTGAGAAAGCTAATTTGCCACTACATTCTGTAACCCTGGCACATGTACTGCTTGAAATAAGATGTTATATTTCAAAACACTAACCATAAACCTACGCATTAGTTTCATAACAACAGGGTACTTTGGAGTATGCTTATTTATAATATGCACAACAGACATATTGTCACAAAAAAACTGTATACGAGTATTCTGCAGAAATATATTCCAAATTTCAACAGGAATGACGATGGGAAGTAATTCCCCAACTGTAATATGGTAGTTTAGATGATCCGGGGAGAAACCATGACTGAACCAATTTGTGCCCAAACACCCGCAAATACCAAGATCACTAGCATCCGTGTAAATCCATCGGGCATCGCAAATGTTCTGCCTGCCACAACAGCTGCACAAACAAAATAAAGTAACCTATAAGGGATTGAGGTTCTGTTAATAGTGAAATTTGTCACTCAAGTGTAGAACATAATTTGTGTTAAATCTTAATGTGACCGGCTGACTTGTCAGACAGATAGTTTAATTGCGGTCACCTTAGTGTCAGAATCATGCCGTGAAACATTGGCTGGACATGCTCTCCACCACTGAGACATTAACTGTTAACGGTTTAATTGTAGATCAGTAGAAGACACTTTCCCTATCAGAATTAGATTATAATTACTTTAGGATAAACTGTAATATCACAGCAAATAGAGTCAGTCCTGGTGTGGCCGTGGAAGGAGTAACTTGTTAAGCTCGATACTCAGGCCATACATGTTATCATTGTTGTAACTTGTGTTAATACTCAACATTTGTACTTCAGAACGGTTGTTGCTGGTCTTTTGTATAACATAA